AATCTAAATCTTAATCTTAATCTTAATCTTAACCTTAACCTTAATCTTGCATGACTTTGATCCTTCCAAAATGTGTTTTATTTCCTAAAACACGCACAGCTTCCTCTTAAAAGCAGAGATTCAAAGCTATCATTTTCATTTAAAGAAACATTCTAACTACATAAAAGAACAGAGCACTTTTGAAAAATGCAGTTATAATAAAGGTAGTTTATCTTTCATTTTTAAAGAAATCTATAAGACAGCCAAAATTGGGGACTCTTATTATTTGCATAGTACACAAGGCAAGTTACTAAGAAGACACAGTATTAGAAAAATCTTTCATAATCTCCATATTAAGATTGCATGGAAGAAGAAAAAACCCAGAGCTGCACACTTCCCAGATCACTTCAAGTATTGAACAAAACTAATTTCTACTACTGGGTGGCCATATGAACTGCATTTAATTTCATTTCTAAGAATACATGTAAATCAAATTCAATTAAAACTAAAGGGTTGGCTTCTTTTTTAGTGACTCAAGTAGGACTGGGCATTAAAAAAAATCATTCCGGAACTTCATAGACTAGATGTGACTCAATTCAGTTGTCTTAGAACAAGATTTTTAAAAAAGGAAATATCCTGCATATTTTAATTTGCTTCATTTTTTAGCTCATTTTCAAAATTGACCCACAAACTCTTCAGTTGAAAATAAAGACAATTAAAGTTTAGACCCATTTAAAAAAAAAGACTTTCTCTAAAACATAATTAACTGTGTGCTATCCTGGAGCTTGGCATACATATATTTGGGGTGCTGGGACATTTCAACAAAAAGAAAAATGAACAGCCTTAATTTCCTTGCCAAATGCTTGAAATGTCATAAAGAAAGTAAATTCAAGCATATACTACAAATATATTGCAGTCAATTTCTCCCTGCCAACAATGACTTTTAAATTTGACATGATAGGTATATTTTCCCAAGAAACACAGTGTAGTCTTATATTTGTGCCCTTAGCCTTAGACTGAGATGGTTTACTAAGCAATTATTACTTCTAATAGGAACCAGTACATTATAATTTAGGCCCATGAATATCATCATTTCCTGAAATTCACTTTGCAATTGTAATACTGAATGGGTAGCCGGCAAACCATATGCTCTAGTGCCAAATATACACAGGCTCTCCTACCCTTCATAATTGGTGAATGATTAATTTGCTACACCCTCAAAGCTTCCCCACTTCTGATCATTCCCATTCCAGAATATGCTACCTGTACAACAATTTTATCATTAGTGCAATTGCAGCTGTCCATCAGTCTTTTCCTCCGATGAATAATATGGCTTCACGGAGAATGTTATGCAGAGCAAACACAAATCATTTCCCCCAAAGAGAGGGAGAAAATACTGTCCTATGAACAAGTTTAATTTGCTCTCAGATTAATGGCCAATTCTTAACAGTTGACACTTAAGCAAACACTGTTCGCTAGAGATCCGTATTTTGAAACCAAGACTTAACATTCCAAAGTTCTTTCCACAAGTGAATGAAATACACTTCAAAAACTATACTTAGCACTTAATAAAAGCAAGATTTTTTTTTAAAAAAAAGAATGAACGGTTAAAATAAGCTAGTCCCACTTGAATTTTCATTGTTCCCAATTAATTTCAGATTCTTATATTTTACAGAAGGAAACTACACAATTAACACACTGTAGTCCCCACATACTGTAACAATAACTACCCTAGCTTCTTTTTATAACCCCCCCCCGAATGATCCATTGTCCTGAAATTAACTTCCCATAGAACAAATCTCACTTACCATGATCATTCAAAGGGTTTACGTTTGCTAAGTAATTCTTAGACAGCTTTATAAAATCAGCATTTTGCTGCTCAGTTTATTGCTCACCAACTGAGAAATGGCAGAGGCTTGTACTCATTCATTAAACTCTATATAAATATATCTTGGGAATTTGGACCACGTAACTCTCCTGCTGCATCATGGACCAGCCCTTACTTGTGAATTCACTTTGTGCTACGTGTTTTCGGTTAATCTCCGGTACGCCGAAAAGGCATGAAGAAAATTTGATGCAAATCCTGCCATACTTCTTAAAGCACGGTCCAAAATGAATGAAGAGCATGCAGGATTTCAACCACAGAGTTATGGATTTTATTACTACACTTCCTGAAATCCGTAGAATTTGGCGATGCTTCATTTTCAGCATTTCGACTTCTTGTTTCTCTTTTTAATTTAGGATTATGCAAGGAGTGGAAACGCAAAGTTCCTTTCAGAAATCATCATGCAGACATTAAAAAAAAACTCTTGCCTTCTGTCAGGGCTAAAAGACAGGTGTGAAAAAGGAGGCATTTTGATCATATCCACCACAAATACTACATGAAATCTGAAAAAAATAAAAAGGCACCCTTACCTCGTGTTTCAGAGTTCCATGTTCTGAAAGAAATGTAAAAATTGGCATGGTCAGTGACGGGAGGCTCACACTGTATGTACCACAGTATTCCCTAGCTCCTGAATACAGTGAGAGTACTCTGTTTTGTTAGCTGATAACCTGTTTTATGCTCCAACAACCCTGAGGCTCAGCTAGTTATTTTGCAACCGTGTTTACTTTCATTGGCTCAAGTCAGGCGTGCTGGGTTTATGCTTAACTCCATGACACATAGCTTTTTGAACCGACAGATTGCCTAAAATCTCTGAAACACTCTATGAAGTCTGCAGAAACTCACAGCGCTGAAGATTTTCCAGCTTTAAAAGCATAGAGTTATTTTTTTTTTTAGGTATTTTATTAAAATTTATAGGCCGCCCTATAAATTTGAATCCAGACTTTTAGCATAGAGCAATTGCAGTTTCTTCTCCCCAAAAAAGCTATATCCAGAATATATTATTATATGTCTAGTATTATTATTACACTGCATTGATTTCTCATTCGGATGTAAGACTTGTATGGAGTGTTCTTTTTTTATTACACAACGTGCATATATTTTGTGCACATTTCTCTGATAGACAAAACATACCAAATCCTTGTCCGTCTTAAGCCAAATATAGAAAGAGCTTTGGACTGATACACGCATATATGGCAATCACGTAAGACAGTAGATTCAGTAGGTGATTGGCACATGTCAATGAGGGATTACAAAACTTTATCCTATAAACAGAATGTTCGTATTTCTTCTTTTAACTTCAAAAATAGTAATCTAGATCTGGATGAGCTTTGAACATTCAAGAACAGCCATTTTCATTTATCAAATTATAGTTCTCCTCTAAAGGAATCCTGATTTGACATGGGGAAAGAAAGATTTAAGTTATTGCTGAGATCCTCCAGGGGTAAGTCTGATCCACAAAGGCATTTTTATATCCTAGCCACTATTTGTTTTAAATCTGAGCCAGTTCACTACATTCATTTTGAATCATCAAATTTTGAATCAATGAATGACAATGTGAGATATATATATATTAGATTTTTACAACCCCTGGTAAGCCCCAATTATGGGAGGAAGCTTCCTCCCATAATTGGGGCTTACCAGGGGTTGTAAAAATCTAATAGATACCTT